ACACACACACACACACACACACACACACACACACACACACACACCGCAGAAGAACGGAAAGTGATGCATGCTGCACTGACTGTGTGTGTGTGTGTGTTTTGTCGACGTGGACGTAGCTTTTTTTCTGCACCGATGTCTGATGCGTCTCGTTGTTCTCGAGTAGTTACCATGCCAACGGAACAGCTGTGATAAAGAGGTGCTTACCTTTCAAAAGCCAGCGAATGTCCAGAAAAAAGACCTGACATTTTCAAGGAGTGGACTTTTATTCGTCTTTTTTTTCTTTCCACGGTCTCTGTGTTGCAATTCATTTTATAGAGCAGGATAAACAGAGTCAGCTTTGTGTGTTATGGATTGAAGAGCTGAACTTTTTTTTAGAAATGCGTGCCGTAGAGTTTTACAGAGTAACCTGAGGAGCTTCAGCTAAACACTTTCCTGATGTGTTTGTGTCTGTTGAGTTTCCTGGACTAAGTGTCCCCTCCATTTGGGAGCAAACACACATTTCTCTGACCTCGGTGGCATGAATTAGAGCCGTTGACCGACTGTCAAACAGCGTTTGATATTCCAACACTGCTTACCGTGTCCATTCATGCAGGAACAAGTAACTGCAACATTAAGCTGCCTAATCAGCAAGTACCGTCAAAAAGGCAATTGCCTAAAGCAAACACACACGTTTAATGTGTTCTTTATGCTGCTCGAGTAGTAAAACCCTTCCAAAAACAGTTTTTATAGCCTATTTTTATTCTTTTTTGGCCATCCCGTCTCCTTCTCTTGCCAAGTATTCTTCCACAGAACGTCCTATATCTTCTCTGCTTTTCTTCCAATTCTCAACCGTCCTTCTTTCCGTGCATCTTTTCCCAGATTCGATGATCCTGTTGGGCTCCATAGAGCGCGCCCAGCTCCAGTCGCTGCTCTCCCAGCAGCTGGGCCGCCCCAGACGGATGGAGTACATCCGGGAGCGAGCGGCCGGAGAGAAGAACCTCCTGCCCGTCGCGGTCAGCGAGGACGCCGGCCCCCGGGCCAGCCAGGAGGTCCGCTTCCAGGTGAGAGGGCCGTTAAAAAGGGACGTAAGAAGGGATGGTTAGCAGAAAGTGGCCCCCGGAGGCCTAAAAAAACAGGAATGCTGACTCAAGCTGGTTACAATCTCTCTTCTGTAGTTGGAAATGAGAAGATTTGTGAAGCCGGTTGTGTGAGCACATCTGGGGAATATATCGCTTTAATAAAGAAGAAAAAGATAAATGACCCGATTTTGCTCCTTTTTCCTCAAAAAACCCTTTTATGTTCAATTCATAAGTTATTTCAGTTATTATTCGCCTGCTGTGCGGACAGATGTTACAACAGAATCTCTTATTAAACCATCAGTAACGGCTAAATTAGCAGTGTTTCTCCTTAATTCTCTCTCCTCCATTTGCTGTGAATGGCTGAGGGTTTACATTGCCTTTTTGTTTTATTTGAAAGGCCAAGTCATTCTTCTTGGAACATATTTGGTGACACCACAGGAAGTCACAGAGCGGCACATAAGAAAATATTCCTCCAGTCGGAGACCTGATGCGTCATGGCTGAGCCCTTAAACTAATGACAGATGTTCTGTTCCATCCATGTTTGGAGCACATCACTCTGATTAAGGGAGGAACTCTTTCAGCACATGAAAAATGACTCAGCTTCAGATTAAAAAGCTGCTACAGTATTATCCTTACTCACCAAAGCATTCTGATGAAGTGACATTTTCTTGTTGTGAACAAAATGGTTCCCACTTCATGAAGGCTTCAACAAAACCAATGAGAACTTTGTCTGGATAGACATTTTCACTCAGTTTCTCCATCCTGCTTTTTGATTTGTCTCCTGAATTAAATGTCAGAGTCTGATCATAACTGCGAGTCTACAGCTGTGTCTTATGTGTGTGTGTGTGTGTGTGTGTGTTTGCAGATCTCTACTGAGGAGTCCTCCTTCAGCCCCACCCGTCCACTACCTCAGAAACCCCTCAAACCTGCACTGAAGAGATCCTCTGTGGTGGAGAGACCCACTGAACTCCCCACCAGTAAGAAAAGAGCACACAGCATTCACATTAGACATTTATGAAGGCTGGGGGCGGGGGGGTAAAGGTGCCTTTGTCTCAACATGACCAGCCTTTTTGCCATTTCTCAATTCGCCATTTTCCTAACTCTCGCTGTAATATTCCAAAAAGCTCCAGCTATAATGAATTATTAAATGTGGCCAGTACCAGAGCAAGTGCTATGAAGCTTTCAGTAAAAGAGTATGAACTCAGTCACAAACAAGACTCAAACATCAGTGACGATCAGACAGCATTTTGAAGCTGTTTTTCAGCTTAGAGAGGCTCCAAGCGAATCGTGCTGACTCATCACCTTCATATATTTAAAGCATGTTTGGCTCCTTGGATTCGATGTTTTCCATATTGATGAAAATGCATTAGAGTAGTTTGCAGAGTCAAACCACTTCATCACTACCCTTTATGTGAAGAATCTGCTGAGGGAGGTTCTCCTTTGTGCTGGCTGGGCACCGGGATGCACCTCAGGATTCTTGTTCGGAGGAAAGACGACTTTTAAAGTGCTGCTCTGTTGTATTTTAGAGGACAGAAATTGTCGTTGATCGATTGGTCATCTTTTGTTTGGACCGTTGCTACATCCACCCGTCGTTGTGCTTGTTTGAATTTAGAAAATGGTTTTATATCAGAGAGTGAAATTAAAGGAAATATCAAATCTCACTTTATTGGCATCGTCTGCTGCTCCTGGTCGGTATAAAGGCGTAATTCAAAGTGAAATAATGTAGTTATTGATTTCAGAACGTCTGTATCTTATCTTTTCTGTTTGCATATCAACTGAAACTCTGTTCAGAGTTAAACGAGGCGTCGCTAACGGCTTTGGATCTGTTTTCTCTTTGCAGGCCCGCATGATAATTCAGGCATCGCGTTGAAGAGCTTGTTCTGTGCCAGTCCGGACGCAGAAGGCCTCGAGGTGAGAGCTCCGTGTCCTCAAATATGACCAACCACGACAATGAAAGCGTCTTTCTCACACTCGCGGTCGCTGGCGTCCTGCCGTCTGCAACCTTCCGGGCACCCACACAGTTCTATGCCATCACATTAAGCCCTTCATGCTCTGCAAAGCAGTAGCCACCCACTCAAAGAGGAACACACACTCACTCAGTGGAATATAAAAGCTGTGTGTCTGCAGTGCTTTCAAGAGAAAGTCCTTAGTACCAAACTTAAGAGGGATTTTTGTGGAAAAGTTGTTTTAAAATACATTTGACTCGTTTGTGTAAGTTACTGTGAGGTTGATAACTCTGTATGCTTATCTCCGGTTGCCCTGAAAGAGAAACAACAATCTGGAGATCCCCTTGTCTCCTGAGCAAAGGAGGCCGTCCAAACGGGTTCGGATATCCGTTGTGGTAAGAACCACCAATCCGGGGCTGCCAAATGCCCGGAACCCGCTCTGCTGCAGGGTTCATCAGCCAATCGACCCGTTCGTTACCCACCGCCATTCCATTTCAGGGCTAATCCCAAAAGCCGATGGACTGTGATGGGGGCCAGGCTCTGCCGAAGCTCCGTCTGAGCCATTGTGCGGGCAGAACCCTCTTCTCCAACCCTTAGCACTGACCACTGACCGTCCACTGCCTGTAGTTGCCCACGTTGTGGGCAAAGGCTTGGTTCCATTCAGTTTAACCTCTTTCCATCGGTCTGCTGGTCAGTCAGGGTTGTACAGAACACTTGACCACAAAAAAAGACCACTGAGAGTTCCGACACTAGTCAGAAAAAAATGGACTTTGGGCTGTGGCTGGCTTCTCTACCCGAATCTCCTACAGCAGCTGTTGGGAAGATAATGATATCGCATCATAGTTGAACAGATTGGATCAAACTCGGCATAAACCAGGCTTGGATTAATTTGTAATGCAGTTCATCGTTTCTTATTAAAACATTGAAACGCAAAGAGTGCTGTGGTGGTTCACATCAAAGCAAAAGGCTCCCGGTCTGAACCTCACCCCATGTCTGGGTGGCTTTTCTCCAGGTTCTCCAGCTTCCTACCACAGTCCCAAAACATGCATTGACGATTCTTATCTCACAGTAGGAGTGAATATGTCTGTCTCTGTGTGGGCTCCTGAACCTATCCAAGGTCTACCCCCAATGACAGCCAGGATAGACTCCAGTCCCCACCCCCAACTTCAAAGCCATACTTGAAAAAAGTAGGTGTAGCGGGTGGATGGATGGATATTTGATTCAGAATTCCTAATTAGAAATCTTTCTGAGACTTGAATTGAGCTGAATTTTTATTACATTTCAAAGAGTTCTGAGATCAGACATTAAACTTAAAGCCACGCTCACACAGCTTCATTTGGGTCAAGCCGCTTCAAAGATGTGGCCTTCAGGTTGTGGTCAAGTGTTCTGAAGAGTTGACATCGTTTAATCAAGCATGTCCATCATCAGCTGCGTCACCCGAGGCGTCCGATCAGTGACGGCCTCCCAGAGCGGTCTGCTACTGGCGTGACTCAGACGTCCGATTTCATCTGCCGCCACCGAAACCGAACTGGTAGTCAATTCAATTCAATTCAATTTTATTTATACAGCGCCACATCACAACAACAGTTGTCTCACAGCGCTTTCCAAACAGAGCAGGTCAGACCCCAATCTGAAGATAATTACAGAAACCCAACAAGTACCCACCATGAGCAAGCACTAGGCGACACAGGCAAGGAAAAACCTCCTTTTAACAGGCAGAAACCTCGAGCAGAACCATGGCTCAGGGTGGGCGGCCATGTGCCTCGGCCGGTTGGGGGTGAGGGAAAGAGAGGGCAAGAGAGAGAGAGGGAGAGAAGGACAGAGGGAGCAGAGAGAGGCAGCCAACACAGCAACTCGTAGACTAGATGAAAAATGGTAGTCCGGATGTTTAAACACTTTTGGGGTAGCGAGGAGCCGCATCGGGGTGAATGCTGGGACAGGAATACCGTATCGTGCGTCCTCATTAGGATCTGGCGGGTGTTTGAACTCCTGTCTTCCAGCTCAGATGGGATGATGAAGCTTGAGGAATGGCTGGAAAGGATCAGAAAATATAATTTTTTTCCCCAATGGTGCATGTCGATCAGAAAAAAGAGCATCTAATTTTGAATTAAGAGAGGTGATTTCTCCATAGAAGACCAGCCCTCTTTGCATGAGCAACATCAATCAAGCACCATGTGATCATGCATTGTGTCGGAATATTAATGTCAGTGATTCATCCGAAAGCCTCTCGTACTGTTTTACGCTCATCACATGTGATGTCATCTCGCCACCAGGAGCCACCGCCTGTCCTAAAGAGTTTCTTTGGGGTGAGCACATTTACCCCATCCCAACACACACACACGGGCGGTTTGTTTCTTGTCAGTGTCCCCAGACGTTTTCTGGTCTAATGCCGCCTAATCACAGGACACGTTGTGAACAGAAGTGAGGGTACGGCCATTGACGGAAAGGTCTGTTCGGTACCTGCCGTTGCGATTTTGATCGTCTCATCGCTCTCGTTCTCAGTCGGTTACCCAAATAATCAGCCGCCGTGCCGCCTCATTGTGCGCTCTTACCGTTGTACTGAAGTGGGCGGAACCATTTCATCCACTAGATGAAGACAGAGTGTGCGTTCTAAGGGGAAATGAAAGGTTATATCATCATGAGGTTTCAGGCTCTGGCCTGGCCTGGTCCTGGCCAGGTCTTAAAACGAGACCAGTTTAACCTGAAACGACTGCTTAAGGTGCTTCCACCGGCAGCTAAATCATGAGAGGAATTAGTTTTTTACTCATAGTTTTTGTTCATCGAATAATGAATATTGTGCATTATATCACGTAATATGATTTACTTCATTTTAAGACCTGATCATGAGCAGGTGTATTTTTATAATATAATGATGTGTACCAGAAATGATAAAGCTGACTTTCGTATCTTTTTCTCTGAGGTAATATGATATATTTCAGATTCAGTTTTGTTCAGTAGTAGTTACACTCATGTCCACCAGCTAGCGTCGCACCATTTTTTTTCTGTCATATTCTTAAAGAATGAGTCAGTTATGATTATGAAAGATGTTAGCAATTATCTAATAATGTATCACTGTGGGACGGATGCCTTAATCAAACACATCAGACTTGATCTGAAAGCAGGCAGGGGTTTCAAAATGTTTTGTTCTCTGTTCAGTTTTAGAAAAACGCCGATTCGTGCTTCTGCCCCTGTTATGTTTTTTAAAGAAGCCCAGTGACCGGGTGTATGTACCCACGCCGAGCAGATTGTACGCCAGGGCCAGATGGTGCCGTATTAGTACAGTGAATTTTTAGATGTGTTAAGTGGGCCAAGAAGCATGTTAGTCATTAAAGCCTAGCAAGTGGCCGATTAGTGAGGAGCCCCTGTTGCACACACGCGGACGTGTGTGTTTTTACGGGACAGTAACCCGGTGGGCTTGTTTCCCCGTCACAATGCGTTATTATTAACATGTTACGGTGCAGCGCTTTGGTGTTCACAGGCCTGTTCCGAGTCCATCGACATCGACAAACAAGCGTATCATTTTCCCCCCGCAGAATACAAATCAGCCTCTCGTTTCTCCTCCCCCCCAGCTCTCTTTTTTTTTTTATCCTCTTCAAGCATTCATATCTCTGTTAGAAACTTATCTGAGACCCTCTTTCTGTTTTTGTAGCCATGATTGGCCCACACCACACCCTCTACCTCACATCCCTATCCATGCTATGTAATATTATACAGTGTAAATTACAATAGCATCTTGTATCAAAGAAGCAATACAGCTCAACGCCTTCTTGATTTTTAAAATACTAACTTGATGTTCAGCCAGCTGACAAATTGGACATTCATAAGTCCTTTTGGCCAATTATGAATTGATCAATGAATTAATTTCAAAGTAACCCCAATGCCATCATTGGATTTTTATATAATGATGACCAACTGACTTTGGTAGAAATCAACTTTTTTTCATTCTAATTTTTATTATTAAATTTTTATTTAAATTTATTCTAATAATTTATTTATGTTACTTAGATATCTGTATCTCCTGTTCTGTGCATGCCCATCACGATGTTTTCTCCAGATAACAATAAAACATGGATAAGCAAGAATTATTCTACATTTCTGCACCAAATTGTGCCATTTGGAGGCAGTTAGTTGAAAACGTTCTACTCACAACATGAAACTAACTTCGTGGTTCTGACCGTTTTCAGCACAGCCTGTAAATGTGCTGTCCAGGCAAAACGGTCAGCCTCTGCCCAGCCTAGCCAGTGTGGCATAATGGATGCTCAACATTAACATCTCTCATCACTCAAACCCTGCAGGGCTCTCAAGAAACCACAGCAATATTATTATTTCACATCACCCACGGTTAGAGCAGAAATGCAATTTAACGGTTTAAAATCAATCAAATATTGATATAGGTTATATAAAATATTTTTAAATGACCAGAAATAATGTTGGAATGTTCATCATTTATTACATACGGTATTTTAGGGTTAAAAGCAATAAAGGAAGAGGGCATCTGTAGCTGATTGATAATAAAAAGATACGACTTCTGTGATGATTTCCACTCGCGCTTTTGTGCCGTCAGCAGATTTTCTTCAGATGTTCATACTAGCAGGGTAAACACGGTTAAGCTTACGTAACTTCTTTTTTTTTTAAATGCGCATTATTGGGTCAGATCTGATTCCCTCTGCCGTGAAGCTATGGAAGCTAACAGTCGGCATTTTGTCCACTAAATGTTGTTGGTCTTAAGCAACAAAGCTGCAGATCACACAGATGAAATACAGGAAGAGAAAGTCAGGAGTTCAAGCAGTGGTGAGATTTTATCTTCACATCCTCACTGAGAAGAGAATCCCTTTTGTTTTTTTTAGCTTTGAGCAGGACTGTAGGAATGGAACTGGTCTTCTGTTGGTTATACAGACTAAACTCCTGTAGATCTGTGGAAATTGGTCCAATTCAGTGCAATGGTTTGCCTGTTGCCCTGGGATGGAAGGGGGATTAGCTCTTTGCTGTGTGGGGGTAAAAAACAGATTGCTGTTATAGTGAGAGGAAGAAAGAATCACTCTTATTTTTGTCTGGTCTGCACAGCTTCCTTGGCCCATGGTCAGTCCGACCACCTCTCACACACACACACACACACACACACGCATACACATACAACCATTCAAGTCTATTTATAAGGTACGCACGGACTTTGATTTAGCTGTCAAAGTCAACTCTCTGTGTCTGTGCGAGTGTCTTTCTCTCTCACACACACACACACACACTTCGGTGTTAAGCTGTGTTTGGGTTTGCGCTCTCAGTAAAACTGACCATTTATTTTATTTTTTCGCTTATATTGCATTCATGGTTCCTTATCTTTCTAAAAGAAGGCACTTAGTTTAAAAACTCACTTTAACAATTCACATTCACACACACACCAGCTATGAGGTGGCTGAAAACTCCGGGTTCATCCCCCCTTTCCTTGGTTAATGGGCCCACATGGGCCCCCCCCAGGCAAAGTCGGGCCATCACAGCAAGCAGGAAGAAGAAGAAGAGCTCAAAGCTTGAGCTGTGGCTCACCCCCCCCACCCTGTTTCTGTCTCTCTCACACATGCCGTCCTTCATTCAGTCCGGCGCAGGTACGGGACCACCCGAGTGTCAGTTTTGGGGATGCATGCACGCCCCTCAGTAACACCCTGTGTTTACCCCCCCCTGGTAGTCTCCTCGGCAAAGATTGTGGTTGTTGGTTGAACTCCAGTGTCCGTTTTGAGCTGTGAGCTCGCCTCCATCTGCTGCGACATCTCATACATCCCACCCCCCCCCCCCCCCCCCCCCCCCCCCCCACACTCATTACACGTTCTATAGTTGCTCATTTAGTCACTCATCCAGAATAGAATAACACACAGAATAACACTCCCGGTGTGATGCATGGGCTCTTAGACGCCATGACGCCGCAGCTAAAGATGGAAAAACAAATGCTCGATAGTGTGATGGTAACCCAGTGTGTGCCGTGTGTGTGTGTGTGTGTGTAGAAGTGAGTTGTGTTGTCATAGTTTACACTTATTTACACGGAATCGTTTGTCTGTGTCCGCCATTAACGGATCGCGTTTCGCCCGCAGGACGATGGAGACGTGGAAGATGACATGACCCTCAGAGAGGTAAGCCAAACATAAAAAAACATAAAAGTACCATTTAAAAAGCACGTCACAACCAACCAAAAAACAGCAAAGTGTCAGAGTAGAGCCCGTTTCTGAACCAAGCCAGGGCTCTGTCGCATCTCTTTAATCAGCATGAGAGGACAATTCGATTTTTTTATTCAATACTTGGAAAAGAACATTGATATAATAGTCGGAAAAGCTGGATTATAGACTCGATGTTGAGGGTTTAAGATGGTAGACATCATTGAAAAAAGTTGAACTGTCTTACAAATTGTTCAGTTTTACTTTTGCTTGCACCAAATCACATCAAATGTCATCTCAAAGCACTTTAAAAAAAAAGTCTAATTCAAGCAAAAATAACTTGGATTAAAACAGGGTTCATAAAAGTTCAGTTTGATTTTATACAATTCATGTTGAAAATAAGGATTGCTAAGGAAACTAACAGACGCCAACAAATGTTCTAGTCTTGAGCATGCATGAGGAATAAGTCCATCAGTGAGTGTAGTGTGCACTACTCACATGGAGAGTTTTCACTCACATGGGACTTTGCAGAAAAGGGTAAGGGCCAGGTAAATATGGGAAGGGTTTTTATAGAAGATCACTGTTGGGGAAATTAGCTTATCTTAAAACAAAGTTTACATTTGATGACTTTTGAAAAGGATGATCTTTAGTATTGAGGAATTATGACTCTGCTGATAGAACAGCCATTATTGACTGTAGTATTGAGCCTCCCCAGAAATCCTTCTATGTGTACTACACTCGACATTTTTTACAACAGATGAAGTTTAAACTGATCTGTAGCACTCACTTGCATCACAATTAGGCTAGAAGAAGAGATTGGAGGAAAAAACAGCCATACTGATCCAGTCTATGAAATCATCAGACCAGCTGGGAGACTCTAACAGGATGCTGTTGCATTGCATTGTGGGAATAGAGTAAATGATTTAGCTGCCTCCCCTTTGGCTGTTTGTGTCATGTACATCTACCTAAAAAGGCTCAGTAGCATCCTACTGCACAGCATTGTAGCGCATTTAGCAAAATGGACCTCTCCCTTTTAGTGGGAACTATTTCTACAAGGGGATGGATTTGTGTTCAGCGTTTCAGTGAATGGTGATGGAGCAGGTCATAAGGAAGAGGAGAGTATAACTTATTTGGCAAGGTGGCAGTAGTCTAAATGGGCCTTCAGAAATCTACATTTGTCTTGCCATGATCTCCGTCTGCATTTGATTACATCACTGGTGGAAATACTCCGGTGCTTTTTGGATTTCTCAATAACCTCGGATAGATCAATTACCCCGGAGTCTTATATTTTTGGATATGACATCATTTATTATTCATCCATCAACAGCACCTCTCATTTCCTCTCTGTCACCGGCACATTCCTCACACCTTCCCCCCACCTCCCATTTTCTCTGCTCTCCATCACCCCCCCTCTGTCACCAGCGCCCCCCCCCCCCCCCCTTCCGTCTGTGCCGTTCACCTTTCTCGCCATCAGGCACGGATCTCTAGGATCTACGGATCTTCTGTGGGACTGTTTTCTGCTTCTTTGACCGTCTATGGAGGGACGGCCTTGATGACACAATGGCACTCTCGCCCCTTCTTTAATCATCAACAATGCTCCAAATCTGTTTGATTTTTGCAGATTGCGGAGTGGGAGGAGAAGCAGCTCGACGAGCAGGTTAACTTCAGCACATGCAAGATCGACCCGGCCCCCTTCCAGCTGGTGGAGCGCACCTCTCTGCATAAGGTCTGGATGTGGATTAGAGGATGAAAGCTCAGTTCAAAAGTGCTCTTACAGTATGGTGCTACACAGACTCACTCAAGGTTTCTTTATTTTTTTGCGAAATCAGAATAGAACGACGGTAACTGAGCTGTTTGAAAGCTAAGAAAAACCTTTTTCTTAAGAAAAAGCTCAAGGTTTCATTTCTAAAACATTGCATAGGATCTAAATTAAGTGTGTGTACGCCCAAAAGCCAATTTTCTTTATAAAAACCATGGATCTACACACTTGCAATTTCCTCTTTCTTAATCCCAGCTGCACCTGTACGTTTAGTGCACGCTTCCATCTCTATTCTGCCCTGTGCACGCCCACATTCAACAGAAATGATCAATGCAAAGCACCTCAGGAATGTCGTGATCAGGGATGTTTTTAACAATGGGAACTGCAAAGAAAAGAGCAAATAAACACAACGTCACCGGGGCAGGAAACTGTGTGTTGCTGAGTGAGGTGGAGAGTAGAAATTGTATCTTGTTTGGTAGCCAGTTGTGCTGTGACTGTGAATGGCAACACAATGTTACACCTATTTAGACTGATTATATTGTAGCAAACTGCCTTTAAGCGTTGGCCTGTTCTCCCACAGGGTTAGGGTTAGGGAAATCTGATGTGTGTACTTATATACAAAACTGTGACTGTGCTTAGGGCTGGCTTTGATAACTCAAACTTGGATGTTTTGACAGAATTATGCTGTTTCAGTAAGTGGCTTTGGGTTGAAAATTCAAGAACCAGTTGCCAGTCGCCGCCATGCACCAGGAAATCTTTGTTGATCAATAAAAAAATCGGTTCCCTCCTAATTGTCCCATTTGAAAGGTCTTCCAGCAGAGCCAAAGCGTCCGTTGCACAGCGTTACCCGCCAGTGCTCCACAGTTGGTTAAATGTTCGGTCCGATGCCTCATACGTGTCACAATCTATGTATTCATGTGTGGTCCGACCCACACTGGTGATCCATCAGAGGAAGGGGGGGTGAGAATCCACTTTGAACTCGTTTAAGTTGTGTTATTGGCCATTTTCATTCATGTGGAAGGTCTTCATGTATAGTGATGGCTCACCTGCACAGGCATAAATAGCACTTTTGTTTCCATTGCTTATGATAAAGTCCATTATTTGGGTTTGATATGGAGTGAAATTAAATGTCTGAAAGTTATCATGAAGCAGTGGCTTCAGTTCCCCACCTCACCATGTGTCCTCAAAGCCAGCGCACACATGGGTCAGTTTGCATTTTTATTTAGAGATCACAAGCTTGTACACAAGTTTCAGGCCCAATTCTGTGTTTATGCAACCCCTGTTGACTACAGAGAGACTGGGGAACACCCTAAAACTTAAAAACCCTCACAGGCTTCGTTTCCCCTTAATGAGCAAACCGACTCAATGCTATTTAGTCCAGCTTCATTCCCTAAGCAAAAGCCAGAGTCCTTTTGAAACTTAACCACACAACACTCCATGTTCTCCCAGTGCTCCTGTGGGGGTTAGTGACTTGCAAACAGAGAAAAAAAAAAAACTTCCACACTCCAGTCCGAGTTTCTTCCTACTGAGAGAAAGTGAAGTGCTGCGCATGGAAAGGAAATGTAGCTCTTCAGAATTCGCATTGATTTTTTTTTCTTTACTGCAGCACATTTTTTACACCTGGGAGGAGTCTCTGTCCTCGTCACACACACTCACACACACACGGTTGAGTTTTGACTTCCCACTGAGCGTGTGTGCACATGGGGCTGGAGCTCTCCAGCAGCTGTGGCAGCGCCGTAATGTCCACCATTCATAAAGCTGCCTTCTCTGTCCTCAGGGCTCTTTGTGAATACTCTTTAAACATTTATGAGAGAGATCCTGCACCAATCCATCTTTTTCCCCCCCCACCCCCACCCCCCACAGCGCATTGCCGAAAGCCAATGCCACACACACACACACACAGCCTATGAACCACCTCTGCTGCATGTGTATGGATCAGGTCCGTGTGGCTGTTCATGTTCGATTTTTGTTTTCCACGAGCAAATCTGTTTCTTATAAATGGAACATGAGAACACGGCACGTGCCTTCGTTCAAATCTTAATTCAGAATTTAATCAAAGGAAGAACCGTTCAAGTTGTTGTTGGCTGAGAGGCGGTTGTTGCATCTAAAACAAACAGTAGACAAATACATACTTTGTTTGGTAGCAAATTAAGTTAAATTAATATGAAGATCATCAGAAACCTGTTTAGTGTGGCGTTGGGCAAAATAAATTACCTGGAAACAACTTATAAGTAAGATCAGCTTGGTAAGCTACAGTATAAAACAGATTCTTTGGAGCAACTTGGAAACAAATTTTCTTTCTAACTTTGTTTTAGTCCCCAAATACTCCAGAAATACAAACAAATCAACTGGTGATTTATTTGAACAGAGGTTTTAGATCCATTTGATCTAAAGCAGCTGTCTGCCACAAGTCACTGCTTCCCAGTGACAGCAGGGGCTAAAGATTACCCGTTTCCAGACCAACCAGTTACGCAGCAGATTCCCAGAAGCCTAAAGGTTCACCAGGGGGCTCTCTTAGGGCCCATTACGATTTGCAGTCCTGTGAAGGATTGTTGGTTTTTGCCAGTCATTAAATGTATATGCTTAGCACTGCAGCTGAATGTAAAGTGTTTAAAGTGTTGACCACATGTGGGATCTGGTTCCATGGACCTTAAGGTGGCATTGCCACGCACAGACTTGGTTGGAGAGGAGAGATTTTTTTTAAAAAGGCATGGTCTTTTCGTCTTTAAACAGCAGTAATTCAGCATCAGGTTTAAAGAAAGAACACTGTGCCAATTTCCCAATCTCCCAGAGTGCCCGGAACACATTTAGCCATTTATCTGAGCACTGGGATAGGTTAGTGTGGATGGAGATGTTGGATGAAAGAAGTCTTTGCGGTGGTACCATTCCAAGGCGGAACCTACTGTTCAGATCAGAAGCTGTCCCAGTTCTGCTTCTGGTTTTCACTTAAAAAGTCACTCCATCTTCTGCTGCTTGTCTTCCTGCAGACTCACACCATCTTCTCCTTGCTGGGGCTGGACCACGCCTACGTCACCAGCATCGGACGCCTCATTGGGGTGGTGTCCCTCAAAGAGGTAACAGTCTGTAGTATTCTCTACAAAACTGGTCGTTTTATTATCTCTTAATAAAGTGTAAAGCTTTATGTCCCCCTTTATTATCAGGATCTATTTTCACAAGGTTGTGACACTTCAAAACCCCTGATCTATATAAACTTGTTTTTTTTGTTTGTCTTTTTTAGATTTTAATGATTAATATGTTTTCTATAATTATAGTTCTATAGTTCTTACTCTGTAGTTTGCCAGAGGAAATACCTTAGATTTAGAGGTGGCCGTTTTAGTGAGACACAGACATGTGAAATCAATACTTACCTCTTCTTGACTCACAGTCTGAAGCAAGAGCTGAATTTGAGATATTTAATTTGACCAGACCTCTCAGGTTATACATAATGTATTTGCTTTAGACAGCTACATTGATTTGTCTGTAGTAAGTGGTGTGTTTTCCTTAAAAAAAAGTTAGACTGCAGTGCAGTGTGTGCTGAGGCCCAAAACATCACAGGACCTTTTTCAGCCTTCTTCTGTTCCTGTATAAAAGTAACTCTGTGACATGTGTTAACACACCAAACCAAAACACCGAGCACACCCTCCGTGCAATCTACATCTGACCGTAGTCTCTAACTCCATTACATGTTACAGGATGGAAAAAAAGATGCTTTGTGTGCCTCTGCATGGCAAATATGGGGGCTCGCTAAAAATGTGCAGTGTTCTTAATGAAAACATGACATCATGAGCTCCTTTGGTTACATTAGGCCTGGATTACCTTAGAGTTGATTACATGACATCACAAAGAGGCATCATTCCCAGAGAGCTGCTTGCTGGCAACTTGGCAGATATCTGCATGGTGATCTGCCAAGTTGTGGAAACTGGCAGATCATCTGAGGAAATTAGACAAGTGGAGGAAAAAAGAAGAAGAGCTGGGCCTAAAAACCTATGTGCAGCAGATGTAGAGGATCTGAAAGTGATGTCCTACACTTTGGACTGTACTGCATTTCCATGTGCATAGATCCCTGGTCGTCTACGCTAAGAAACACATAGAATTTCATATTTACTACGGTTACTTTAGTTCACAGTTCCCACTCAAGAGCAATAGTTTTCAAATCCTCTGAAAAGAAGCTGTATCAACTATGGCTGGCAACTGTTACTGGAGTTCTTAAAAAAAGAGAGAGGGGATGCCTCAGTCATTATCAGGTCCAAGAAAAGGAGTCTACATTATGTTTATTTAGCAGACGCTTTTATCCAAAGAAACTTACAAAGTAGACACAATGTTACAGCTATCCTAAGTTCTCTAGAGGAAAGTTCCTTGTCAGAATCAGTGGTAAGAGCCAAGAGAGAGAGGGAAGTGCAGAAAGAGGAGTAGAGGGGGTATGGAGGTATGGGTAAGAGTCAGGGTAGGAGATGCTCTTTGAAGAGGTGGGTCTTTAAGAGTTTCCTGAAGATAGACAGGGACGCTGCTGCTATTGTAGGGCTTGGTAAGTCCTTCCACCATCTTGGAACAACACCTGAAAACAGTCTGGATTGTCTTTAGCGTGGTGTAGGCACTGCTAGACCACAATCCATTGATGACTGGAGTGACCCAGTTGTGATATAGGCCCTTGTAAGATGGTTCCAGTAGACGGGAGCCGTACCCTTAAGCACTTTGTAGGCCAGCATGAGGGACTTGAATTTGATACGGGCAGCCAGGGGTTAACCAGAGAAGCTCAATGAACAGAGGGGTGACGTGAGACTTTTTGGGCTGATTGAAGACCAGACGGGCAGCCACGTTCTAGATCATTTGTAACGGTTTTACCGTACAGGCTGGGTGACCAGTCAGGAGTGCGTTACGATTCTCAAGGCGGGAGATAACCATAGACTGTACCAGGAGCTGGGTAGCATGTTGGGTTAGCTATGGACGGATCTTTCTAACATTAATTCCAGCAGCATTCCCGCATGACAAAAAAAGGTTCAGAACACAGAGATCTTCTTATGAATATGGTCATCTCCAGCTGTCCTGTCCGGATAAATCTCACATTTCTTGACCAAGCATCCCTGAACTGCATTAATGAGGTTGACATGCAGATCTTACTGTGAAGAGCAGCCAAAAGTGGCGACTACTCAGCTTGTCCACGGCTTCTTCCCTAACCATCTTGTCTCTCTTCGTCCAGCTCCGTAAGGCCATTGAGGGCTCGGTGACAGTCAAGGGTGTGAAGGTGCGTCCTCCCCTGGCCAGCTTCAGGGACAGCGGCACCAGCAGCAGCGAGAACGAGGCCACCGAGCTGCACAAGCTGTGGGACCGCCACAAGAGCGCCTCGCTGCCCCGCGTACACACCCCGTCCGAGTCGGACGAGAAGTCCCAGTGAGAGATCGTCCACGGCGAGGGAAGAAGACGGAGCAGGTGGAGGAAAGGCATGTGTGGAGGTCTTTTCATCTTCAAAGCCACACAAACATGCATAAATCCTCAGGGCTAAGGATCAATATTTAATTCTGAAAAGAGTTTTACTGCTACGCCAGCCTCCCCCTCCCTCCCCCCCCCCTCATCTGCTCCTCTGCCTCCTCCCACGCCAACCCTCCGGTCCTTTCTTCAGGATTCCTGCACTGACCCTGCAGACATTCCACCTGTGAGTGGAGCACAGGTGCGCCCTGCTCCGTTAACCCTTTAGGATTTCCACCACGGAACGCATCGACCGAGTCAAAAGCAGAGGGTGAATTGAAATCTTATCAAAAGGGATATTTTTAGCAAGTGTTTTTCTTGTATCTCCTTCGAGTCCAGATCAAATTTATCTTTGGATTGGCTCTTTCACGCTAGTCTGCAGCGATGGTGAGGAAAGCCTTCTGTACTGTATGTGTGTACCGGCAGTGTGACAGGATGAAATGAGAGAATGTAGTTTTTTTTTTTTTCTACCTTTAAAAGACGTTTGAGTATTTTTTTTTTCTTGTGTATGTACAGTAGTTGTATTCCTGGCTGACCAGGGGGACTGGGCATCACTGGAAACGGCAGATTGTCCTGCTGACTTGCATTGAATTTATCGGGGGGTACAGATGTCTTAGTTTTGTGTAGTTTCCTTTTCCCATCTCTCTTTCGCTCTGGATTGCTCATCCCTTTACTGTGAGTCGGGTTGGTAGTGCAGCCAGGGAGAGCCGCATCGCACACACTCGTAGGCCTTTTGATCTCACACACACACACACCCCTGTCATTCTGTAGCAGATGCACCCAAATGCACATAAACACTCTGCAGCAATGCTGACCAAGAGAGGAGGTATTTACTTTTGACGATATAGCGCTTAATTCAAGATCCGTAGAAGTTAGCGAGAGCAGGAGGAACAGAAAGCAAACGGAGGGCTGAAGGAATGTAGACATCCTCACCTACGTGGTGCACCCAGCTGTATGAGTGGGCTGGTGGAGATCAGTCATTTGATTGAAATATAGAATAATTCTTCCAGACGAGGCACTGTAAAAACCACTTTAAAGGAATCCATTAATAACCAGCAGGGAGAGATTGTAGAGTTGTAGTTGAATAACGCCACATCCATCCGGTTTTCCAGCCACCCGAATGGCTTCATCAGCCCAGTGAGCCGGTCCAACTTAGATAGTCAGATTTGCATCTTTCTGGCACCAGAGGCTTGACCGATCCCAGTAACGTGCATGCTGCACATGGCATTCAAGGCCCGGACACAGGTAACGGCTAATGGATCAGAGATCCTCTCTTATTCCTTCATCCAGGCTGTCATTTGGAAGTTATTTCTATCATGTAAAGTTTCCAACGAGAGCAGATTATTATGTGGCCCTCGGGAGTCTTCAGAGGTCGAGAACAGGGTTTTTACTACATCTGACCAATTCCGATCTTTCAATAGCCAGATGGTAGCAGTGAGAGGCCATTTTGGTTCCTCAGACTGGTGGTAGTATACATCATTTCATCTTTGCACGGCAGATTTGACGCACCACGTGAATCTCATTTACTTTGTGCTTTCTAAAGCATGATTGTCGTTTTTTTTATAAGCCCTTGGAACATTTTATATCTGCAGATGATTGAAAACATGACCTAACATATCACTTTCAAACTGCCATGACGTTGTCATTTGAGAGGATTCACACCCTTTTGTTTGCGATTGAGTGGTCTGGATGTCATACTGGATTCTGGGGCCATTTCTATAAGCATATGCGCATATTTTATGGATTACCTTTTCACATCAAGCTGTAGAGGAACCAGCCTGACGGATCCATCTGGATTGCATTCTCCTAGACCTTGTCTATTTAGTTGCTTGCACCAATTAATGACTAATCAATGAGTGTTTACTTTCATGTTGTGTAGACTTTAAACTTCGATAATTCTCATCACTGTCTTCCACATAAAGATGCATCTAAGAATTTGCACACTTCGACTTAAATCACTCCCAGCTCTCCTTCTTGTCTCGCTCTGGTCCACCGAACATAAACTGAAGCATGGCCTTGCATGGGAGAGTGCATGTGATGTTTTTTTTGTTTTTTTTTAATATGATCAAAATGTACCAAAAACAACTGCTTGACAAATTAGAATACGGGCATAAAGGACAAGTTTGCCATCTTGTGCCTGTATTTTCTGACATCCTCATTCTTCCACTGAGCTTTATTCAGGTCCTGGTTGTAAACTGGGTAAGGGGTCTTTAGGTTCAGAAACTTGCAGATTAATATATTTGATATCATTCCTCTAATGTAAAATCATCATGTAATGTCTTAACCAATCATTGCTTGCTGACTGTCTTATTTCTGGAAGAGATGTTGGGTATGTTTTATAATGCGCGTCATATTTATGTCACATTTGATGATTTAAAAGTTGATTTTCATGCTGTCCTTAATGTGTTTTTTTTTTAAATATTTAACTTGCTGTCTGAACATTTCTATGATTAATAAAAACATTTTTTTTAAGTTTTTCTTTAAAATGCAGATAACAATAACGGGGTGACGGCTTGCGATGGCTATCAGATGGAAAAAACAGAAGAATTCTGGTAAATCAGGGAGATTATGTTTTAAGGCACCAGCTTGTGGTCTGTTGTTGACTTTTCATTCCACAAGTGCCTTCTCCCCTTGTTTCTTTGGCCATACACATGGTTGTGAGGCTCTGGATGATGTTTCCCAGCAGTGTGCGCTTGTCACTATGACAACCAGTACGTGGGCTCAGTCCATTGACCAACTGCGACGACTCTGATTTGGTTCACTGTATTTGTTTTTCCATTTAATCAATTTCAAATGCTGAGCCTGATCCCCTCTCCTGACAGACAGTCTCATCTCATTTGCTAGCAGAGTTAGGCTAATTTATCTTTGGAAGTCTTTTTTTTTTTTCATCAGAATGGAAGTTGTGCATTCTTTCCATCATTTGCATGAGTATTTCTAATTCTTTTTGTGCAATAACTCTTGTCCATCTCACTTGTAACCCCCTTTTTATTGATGCCATGACCAAGAAGTGTGGTGAAACGAACGACTGTTTAAAGGGGCGGGCTTCCCAGAAGCCTCCGAAAAAGTTTACTAGAATCAGCATTTAAACATTAAAACAACTGTTTGCACTCTCAGTGTGTATGGATTAGAGAGGAAACATGTATTTTTGACGTTCTGACTGGTTGGAAACCTCTCAGAGTGCTGTTTGTGGAGCCTGCTCCCGTAGCTGCCACATTCATCCAAGCTTCCTTCGCCTCATAAGCATTATACCCAAGTCGGTTTGTCTTCCTCCCCCTGCGCTCTACTTCAGAGAGAGGGGGCTTTTTTTGGTAAGATCAGTGCCTCATGACAGCTGTTCACCTTCTATCTAGTTTCTTAGGGAATGTACATGACTATAAACTCAGAGGGGCCGAACCACAGAGAGCTCGACGAAATCTAGAAGTATTTTCACAGCATAAAATTGAAACATTGTTTTGTATACCAGTGATGAATAAATGAGATTTTAACAAATAACTATTTTGTCGGAGTGTTTTTTCGTTGTTTTTTTTTGTCTGAACGTGTCCATTCTGCAGCTGTGCTCCACTCCTGGGATGCCCTCGTCCTTCTCATCTGGAACAGCTGGAGAGCACCTGGATTGATGTTTTTGTCATTTCCAGATATTCTCTTAGGAGAAGCACACAAAGTACTGCAGTAATGTTCAGATGAGACTATTTGGTCCCAAGAGTGGAATGTATTTTTAGATTTGTTCCGTTGCATTTTAGTAAGAAAAAAACAGATAATTGTTGATTACTGACTATGGTCGCCGTATATACCAAAAATCCAACCGGAAATAATATGCCTTTTGAAAAAGTACCTCTGGCTGTTGGGAATTGGTGCTTTGGTTCTTTTTGGTTGTGGGGTGACCACAATTGGCTGAAGCTGGGATGGATGGAAAATCTCTTGTGAGTGATGCTGACCTCTCAGAACGAGGCCAACATTAATCGTAGCATTTTACTGTAACTTGAGGGCAAGCCTCTGACTGCAATAAGAACAAAAAAGAGCAAACCTGCTGACACCCTGTCCCGCTGATATTGTAGCATGACAAATAGCTTTTAATCCCACATAAATCGTACAGACTAAATACGTAGATACTTTCTCTAATCACATAAGACGTTCTTTAAAAAGTAATATTTTGTATAGACTTAGACTTAGACAGTACTTTATTGATCTCTTGGGAAAACTCCCTTAGGAAATTAAGGTTACCAGCAGCTTACAGGGCAAAAAAGTATTAAGTTAAATTAAATTAAGCAAAAAAGATACAAAAAATACAGATTAAGTACAGTGTATATAACAGGAGTTGTGTGTATGTAATATAGGAGTTTGGCGGATAGATTGAGCTGTGATATGGTTTGCACTATATGGTTTGTCCTGATAAATATGGAGTTCACATTTTACAGAAAAAATCCAAGTGTTGCTACTCCTTCCCTCTCAGCCATAGGCTAACAAATGGTACCCCCTCTCAGTAGTAAGGCTTTTATCTACATTTTAAGAACCCTTTTTCATATCATCCCATGCCATTTCTAGATTAGTTTGATATTTGTATAAAAAATGAAGACAAAATGTGGAACAAGCATCTCTACTTTCACTTTTTGTCTTACCACAGTGCTCAGAGAAACCATTTGAAACCCAAAACCAACATTACAGACAGGCTTCAGTGAGCAGAAAAAACTGAGCAAGTATTGCAAACCTAAATTAACCGAAGCAGCATTGAAACCACATGTAAGAGGCTTATAACATCACTCAGAGGCCATTACTTCAGCTCACTTGTTCTGAAGATGGTTCTATTGCGGTCATATCGTAGGTGGCGCCTTGTTTCTAAGTCACTGATTCTGAAATTAGCTTCGGTTTATGTTCAAAGATGACACACTGTGACATGTCAGGAGACATCGTTCATCTAAAGTCGGACCGGCCTTTTTTTTTTTTTTTTTGATATGGATGACAGAATTGCCTTTTTCAAAGTAAAAAATAGGAGAATAAAAGTTCAGTACAGACTACTTTATTCATCCCTACAGGGCAATTCATCTAGATCACACTACAACAAAACCACATTTTAAAAACAGGACTAAGATAAAATTGACCCCAAAGTTTAAAACTGAGAAAAGGTATTTGGAAATTCACTAATTGAGGGACAGCACAACCACAATGGTTCAGAAACGGTAAACAATTCCAGCTCTTCGGTGGCCTGCATCAGAATGCTGTGATAGATGAGATTGGACGGCCTTTTTTTTTTCCGGGCCCCATCTGTCCGGCCGCTACCGTTCCCTCTCTGGTGACTCATAAATACAAATGTCTCTCTGACACCAAAAGTGCTCGCTGCACTTTGAGGACGGTTGATGTAATCGCTAGTAAGTGGTACAGAAGGGCTTCTTCTGACCAACTTTCTGTTGGTGTGTGTGTGTGTGTTGATCTGAAGCACAGTTTGAGCTGACCAGAAGATGGAGAAGAAATGATGCGTATATACTGGAATGTTCTATGTCTCTGACTTCTCTCCTTTTTTGTTTTTGTGCAGCTCTTCTGTAGAAATAGTTGGTAATTCTTTTTATTCCCTTGTACTTGACAGCATCATTGCAAGCAGAGTGGTAGAATTATGATCTAATTCCCATTTTAAGGTTGGGAAGGAAATTGAGTTGTCTATCTTGGATAATAATCTGTAAATCTTTGAGAGGTGTTTAAAAATTCTGCTACCCTGCAATGGAGTTGTACATTTTCTACCTATTAGAGTCTTGACTTGTTGGTATTCTAAGAATTTGTTGCTACTTGTCTCATACAGTCTCCTAAGTGTATCAAATTAGACAAAGTTACAATTCGGGATTAATTGTTCTCAATACTGCATTCATTTGTTTTTTTCCAGACAGTAAAGTTTGGCATATTTTGTTTTGCAGGATGTCAGGTTGTTCCAGATGGGTGGTAATTTACACAGAAAGAGGGAGGGTTTAGTTATTTTAAGAAACTCCCACCAGGCCGTCAGAGAGGAGAGGAGGTTGAAGTTAAAAAATAATTTACGATGTTCAATGCTCAAAATGATCATTGTTAAATCAGACATTTCCAGATTATCACAACATTTAGTTTGTTCCATATCTACCCATTGTTCATCTAGTGAGTTAGCTTCTAAACCATTGTGGGACATACTGAAACCTGTTGGCAAAAAAATGTGTTGAAAGTTCGTTTAATTCACTGCCTTAAGATTCGTGGTGGATACTCAATGGAAATTTTGAGATCCAAGAAGCCAGTGACTTAAACCAGGAAGACGGTGGTCTTGTGGGGATCATTGAAAACCGGTCATTCACTTTAGGAAGGACCATGATTTCTATGGTAGCTACTTTCCCCGTCAGTGAAATGTACAAGAGGATTTTACCTTAGAAAATCATCTTTTATTGATTTGTAAAGCTGAATGGAATGTAGCTTTTGCTAGGTCTGAAAGCCTGGGGACTGTGCTATTCCCAAATATCTAAACTTTCCTGACTGTAGCATAGAAGTTGGTATATTTTGGGGAGTGTGATTTAAAGGCAGAACTGAAGACTTTCTGGTGCCTTTCTGCAGATTGAAGGATGGAGAAGTTTGATCGTTGATCATTGGTCCTGACACTTGCATTTGGAGAACTATACGACATTCTCATCCAGTTTGCAAAAGGACAAACCAAACCCAAATTTGTATAATTTTGCATACAGGAATTTCAGTTTTAACCAATCGACTGCTTTTTCTGCATCTAATGAAATGATTGTGGCTTCCAGGTTGTTGATGCTAGTTCATGAGATGAATTAATTATCAGTAACGTCAAATTATCAACCCCACAGATGATTTATGCATGTTGGTTGTCAACAACTGCTGGAGATAAGAAACAATGTTGTTCCATGCGTTCCAAAAGTTTCAAATTAAAGCTGGCAAAGCCTTGCTTCAAATGTGTGCCATATTTTTTTTAAGTCTCCTCACTAACTAGGCTTAAGAAAATATGCAGTTTTCAAATCTTAAACATGCAAGGAGATGGGAACATTATCATTAGTTGTTTAACACAATTGTGTATCTATGATTTCAGAAAATAATCACAAAAAATATTCCAAACACAAGCTTATATACCAAAAGTTTATCATGAGTATGATCATCTGTTACAGCCTTTCAGTTTTAACAAGAGAAATCATTTTTACAGTAGATAAGAATGATACAGTCTATGAAAAGTTTACAAATTATTCATATAAAAAGAACATTGTATTATTATTTGATCTCCCACCATGAACAGAAGACTTTCACCTGATTCTTTATCTGTTTAACCACGAGTCACTGTACCCATAAATGAGAGAAGCACACAGACTTAGAGTTTAGTGAAACTTTGAGTAGTTTATCGCGCAAGTTGAAGATGTTTGATGTTGTGCCTTAAAGAAAACTAAACTCATTAAAAGTCAACAATGCCTTTCTGTCCCATAGTCTGAACAGCAGAGTCTATCTTTACAGCATGCCACAACAAATCTCTTCACCAGATCATCACAAATAAAGTACAAGATTTGTCAAACAGCCTTTAAGAGAACGAACATTCACATGAAAAAAAAAACTAAACACCAAAAAATTAAGAAAAAGTATCATAATGGTGATAACTGAGGTTGCCAGTACAAATCCCATGGCAGCATAGGTCAAAGGTGAGCTTCACCCAGAGGCTCCGGCCCCCCCAGTGCTGCTCTCCGTCGAACACTGACCAGCAGCGTGCCGTCCGGGTCCAGGGTGGCCCTGACGGTCAGGGGGTCCATGTCCTCGGGAAACAGCGACTTGTGGGTGAACGTGTCACTGACGTTTCCATCCTCCAGAACCTGAAGGGGTAGGGGTGGGGGGGGGGGTGGGGGGGGACACAGATGGTGGAGAGAGGGGTGAGAAAGGCTTGTGTTTGCGGCTCGAAACAGAAAGCTCTGGCAGAGACACGGAGAAGAGCGACGAGGCCAAGTGAGTCACAGCGGTGAGAAAAGAGGGTGAGAAGCTGAGAACGAGGCAGAGGCAGTCCCTTTTCCTGGCCTGTACAGTGAGAAAAGGAACCCCCCCCCCCCCC